ACTCATCTCTTGTCAGCTGAGCCGAAGTGGATCCAGAGAGGCTTTGCAGACTTATTCGTTCTTTCTCTCTCAGCCGGCATTAAAGAAATGGTCAGTAAAACAGTAAAGAAGAATGTCTTCTCCAAGTTAGCATTGTAAGTGATGTGTAGATAATTTTTACGTCGACATCAGGGCTTGAGACATTATTTCAATTATAATAGTAACATACAAGTATTCAGTGGTGAATATAGCTTTATGTAAATGAAATTGACTTTTTTCACTGATTAAGAGCTAAGTCGAAATCCTACTGAGGGGAAATACTTTAGTACTGATGTTGTATAACCTTCTGTGATAAAGTTTGTGGCGGAGCTCCTGCGTGTCGAAGGCGCGCTAGCGGAGCCCCATACCTTAGAAAATTTGGTAACCCATCGATCTCAAAAATTTTGGTTGTCACGTGACTGTCCGTACGTCCGTCCGTCAGTACGCCCAGCCCCATACCTTTAAAAATGAGAGAGTAGCACCATTGCCATAGATACATCTTTGATATTGGACATCCATGTTATAATTAATTGACAGCTGTCAAAACAAGGTACCCGCTGACCAGTATCACGTGACCATATCGCGGGCTCAGGTTATTACTCTGGGGGAGAGGGTACATACAAAGGCAAAATTTCGGCGCAAATTAAACCCGGACGCGTTGTTGACTTTCTTTCCACATATTCCTTGCACAATCGTCTCTTGGAAAGTCCCTGATATATTGCCTGCGTAATTTCTACAATCTTGGGTACACTCATTAGGTATGGTTTGTTAAAATGTAACTAGAAAAAATAGTGAAACCACACACTGAACAATCATATGCTCACAATTGATCATTTTTTGAGTTTCTGCTCCAGGAGAAAATATCCTCTCCTCATTTATGGTTTACTATTTAATCAGGAGCTCCGCTCTTACGCTTTACTAAATTTCTATGTTATCGTTGATTGGTATAAACATCAGCTAGCGTTCCTTCTCCAAGCAGATGTGTTGCCCATTATTGCGATTCATTACCTTATTTCATATTGTGCTTTCATTGCACTGGAGCTTTTATACTGATTTAAAATAAGATTGTCAAAAGACTGAAAAGTTAAATATATGCGCAGACGATTCATTGGATGTAGATCCCCGCAAGACTGATTTTTAGCAAAGGTTTTTGCCTGATTCTCGACATGAAGAATCCTTACACCCATTTCCCGTCTCACTCATGCCAATTCTTCTCACTCCATACACACGCTGTACCGATTTTAGTCACTTCTATTTACCTTCTTCATCCGTTAGTTTCTTTTGCAAAGTCCAGAATAGCCTTGACATTATTAAATGTCAACGCATGCACTGCGTGCCGTTTATTTTTAGTGAAGTCTTTGCCCCGGGTGTTTTCCCCAGTCTGGACAAAGAATTTCTCACTAAAGAATCAAGACAATTTAAGTTTTGCTTTTATTTTAACATTCATGATTTTATTGAGGTCACTTGCATACTTGATTGAAGATATAGACCACTAAATACAATAAAAAATTGTTTGGCAAACGAAGTTGTAATAAGTGCTTTGTGATACAAATTTATAAACTAATAACTGTAGGTGTCAAACTAACAAATGTCCATTGTTTCAAAAACTGTTATTGTTGTCTCATTGGAGGGTTCGTGAACAGTGTTTGAAATGCCGTATATAACAGAAGATGATAAATTAAGTTCATCACTACATGTATATACAAGTTGTATTACAAGAGACCTTTATATAAACCACAGAGACAGTACCAGATCATAACATTAACTGTATCTACATCTAAATCAAAATCTACCAATATAAACCGGTGGAAAGATCCCTACGAGGATCACGCCAGCTGTCAAATATAAAACATGTTTATACATTAAACCAAGAGATAATCAAGGTACTTACCTTGATAATACTATAATCTCTTGTTCTAACTTATACAAAATGCTTTCGATGAATGTTAATTATATAGATACTGACTGGTTAGCTAAATGTTTAGATAAGTTAACGGAATAAACGAACTATTTCACCTGGAAGGGTATTCCATCCCCTCATGGTCTGAGGACAAAAAAGGAACACAAGTTTCGTCTTCTGAACTGTGCCTCTTGGTCTATGTCTAAGATCCTAAACCCATTCTATCTAGAACAGAACAGTGTGTCCCGAAGGGAAGTCCTCCGTTCCCACCTTACCTGAATACGAATGGGTTTTTTGAGACGCTGAATATCATCTTGGTTACCTGTTGCATGTGGCACGCATACACGCAACGTCAATCGACATTACTACAAGAGTAGCCTATAAAAACGTCAATGCTAGATGAGATTGCAGTTGCTGCGAAC